AGCAGCGTCCCGCGCCGTCCTCCTCAAGCGCGGCGGCTCCCGGGCCGGCTATGAGCGCGGAGGCGAACTGCAACCAGGGGGCTTGAGGCAGGCTTGAGCCAAAATGGCCACGGACGGGAGGAGGAGGGGGGAGAAGAAAAGGAGGAGGAGTGGGAGGGGTAGAGGGAAGCGGAAGAAGGAGGAGGAGAAGGTGAAGCAATGGGCCCGCTCAATCGTGCATGGGGCTTGGTGGGAGGTCGTCAGGATCTGTCTAGGTCCGCGGCCGCCCCCCTTCCTGTACCTTCCTCGGCCCCCGGCCACACTTTCACGATGGCATTCCTGTGGTGTCCTGGCGGCTTGCCGAGTGAATATGTTGATAGCGCCTCGACGGTGTCCCGATTGAGCTGCGATGATGTCCTGGCTCAGTCCCAGATTGTTGGCGGTGCTGCTCTGTTTGCTTTGCGATGGCGTCCCGCATGGTACTCGATGAATGTGGATTGGTGCACCGATGGTTTCGCCATTTGCATGCACTAGGCTTGAGATGATGCCGCCACGATGCCGCGACTGTGCCCAGATGGGTGCTCAATGGTATCCACATCGGAATGCGATGGTGCCCCCACTGAGTTGTACCGTCCTGAGGAGTCTGCAGAAAACTTGCTGTGAGCAGATGGAGTTACCGTTGATGCCGAGAATGATGTGTGTTGGTGCCCCGACTGATCTGCAGTGGTGTTCCAGATGATTGGTCTTGATTCGCGATTATGTCACAGTGGTGTCTCGAGTGATGTCCGTCGCAAATCACTCGGACCACCACCACACATGAGCAGGGCGCGGTCGCGTCCTCATTGAGTTGCCATGATTTTATCAAAGTGAACTGCGAGTGACTTGCGATGGTGCTCAAAATGATAATGGCTGTGCTTGGGTCGAACGTGTATGGTGCTGCGGCGCAAAAAAACTGCTTGCAATGGTGTCCTGATTGATGGAGTGTCCTGATACTGGTGTTTCTGGTGCTCTCGTTGCTCTGTTGCGGCAACCTCTGCATGACATGTACGTTTGCGTATCCACTCGTATCTAGTTATGCCTTTTTGATTTGCAGCATGAGCGCGTGCGAGACGAATCTGACATCTGATAAACATCACTGTTGGCTGCAGGCTGGTCTACAAGGCACAGGTCCGTGTATGTTGCACTTGTTGGCTATTATTTTCTTATCGCCTCCTGACGTGGTGATCCAAGCCTTCAGGGATGCATCTGCACAAACACGTGAATACATCAGTACGCTGCGGGGGGGGGCTCGAGGTCCTCTCCTGGGCGGCAGCGGACATCATATCATACATTCCCAACGTCAGCGCGCTGATCCAGGGGGAGAGAAGAGGGGGGCGGGCAAGCCAGGTGCGCTAGCGTCACATCTGACGTCCTACACCTCCCTCCCATCCCTTACCATGGCGTAGATATCCGATCTATTCGCAGTCGGATGTCGAGCAGGGCAATGATCCCAAAAGGGTACGCGGTGGGGGTCGGAGAACGAGCAGGGTGGAGGGAGGAGGGAGCACGAGGAAACTAGAGAGGGAAGGAGTAGGGAAGGGTGAAGACGGAGGGACAAGGTTGAGGCAATAGGGGGACATGGTAAGACGAGGGGAAGGTGACGGGGGATACGAGGGGACTGGAGGACAAGGGGAGAAGAGGGGATATAGAAGGAGAACAAAAACGGCCTACGCAAATTCTTGTGGCGCTCCGCGCGGGTTTCTTGGATCTGCGCTAGACCGCCCTCCCTGCCGCGCGGAGCGCGCCAGGGCCGGCGCCAGAGGCGCGGCCGGGGGAGGCCCAGCGCGGATCCGAGAAACCCGCGCGGAGCGCCGAACCAGTTTCTGCGTATGCCGTTGTCTCTCCGAGGATGGGGGGCTGTGGAAGACAGGCGAGAGGGGCTCCCTCCTGGCAGGAGCGCCAGTGGCAGGGCAGGGGGAGCAGGGCGGGCACGTAAGAGGAGGAGGAGGAGGAGGAGGAGGAGGAGGAGGAGGAGGAGGAGGAGGAGGAGGAGGAGGAGGAGGAGGAGGAGGAGGAGGAGGAGGGAGGAGGAGGAGGAGTGCGGGCCAAAACGGTTCACGACAGCCTACGCTTTCGTGCCGTGGGAGCGTCGGGCCGCTTCGGGCCGTCCCCGAGCCAAAACCCGAAACTCCATGAGCCCCTACAGGGGCTGGTTTGTGGAGGGGTGAAGCCCGCTCCACAATCGCGTCAGCCTACCCCCGATCACCCTTTGGGCCCCAGGGCGACGTGGGCAGAAAAGGCCCGTCCACCTGTCGTCGGCGTACCTGGCACACCTGCGGCAAAAGACGTACGTGCTGCGGGCCACTATTTTGTGCCCCGCTCTCTGGGCTCTGTCGACCCTGGCGCACCCCCAGTCCAGAGCGGCCCGAGACGGGAGGTCAGCATCCAGGGAGGAGGGGGAGTAGGGGGGGGAGGAGGAGCAGGAGGGGGAGAGGAGCAGGAGGGAGGAGGAGAGGAGGGAGGGAGGAGGAGGAGGGGGCGG